AGGTATTTGCCAGGAGCTCCTGGAGAGCCAACCCCAGGAGGGCGGCCAGTAGCAGGCGGTGACTGGAGAGGCCGGATGATATGAGATGGGCTAGCCTCTCCACCACCTCCCAGAGAACTGGGTCCCCAGCCACCTCCATGGCCTGAGAGAGCTGGAGAGTGGCCAGTACTGTAGCTGAGGGAGGGGCTGGCTGTGGGGAGCCCCTGTGAATGGGCAGCTGGCCCTGGGTAAGGCTCACCCTGTACCCCATAGAGCTGGCCCTGAAGCTGGTCTGGAGAGTAGCTCTGACAGGTAGCCAGGCCAGGAGGTGGGGGACCGCTGGGGGGCTGCGGAGGCCCACCAGAATAGCTCGGGCCTTTGCTTAAGTCCTGTGCTTGACCCCCTCCAAACCCTTGCCCATAGGCCTGGGGTCCCAGAAGCCCTTGGGGCTGACCAGGAGAATATGCCTGGCCCCCAGCCCCGGCAGCCCCAGAGGCTTTTCCGGCAGCATAAGCAGCCGCTGGTCCACCCAGGCTCTGACACTTGGGTGTGGCGGTAGATCGAGGTGGTGGTGGTCTGGTGGCGCCCCCTGTACCTGGTCCATAACCTCCCTTGCTTGTCTTGTAACCAGGGGACTGGATGATAGGGCGGTACCCACCACCACCCCCAGCCCCACCTCCCCCAGCAGTCTCCGGGCCTGCGGCCCGGCCAGCTGCTCCAGTTGTGGCTCCACTGGGCCCACCCTTGCTAGGTTCTCCAGCACCTGGAGAAGGTTCCCCCCCTCCCAAAGGGCTGCAAGCCAAGCTGGCCCGGTGGCCCATGGAGGGATAGCTGCCTCCGCAGCTCAGATAGTGCTGCAGGGAATGGGCTGGGGGTGGGGGCGGTGGGGGCTGGGCACTGGCTGGCCGCTGGTAGTGTTTGATGACTGTGTCCTGTCGGGGCAGGGCCCGCTCGGGGGGCGGACCCGGGGCAGCACCCGAGAAGTTGTAGAGCTGAGGGGATGATGGTTCCGCAGCAGTGGCTGCTGAGGAAGAAGCCAGCAGATTGAACTGAGTGGGGAGGTGGCGCGGAGGTGGAGGTGGATCTGGGGGACCGGGACGGTAAGGGGGGGTCTGAGCAGGGCCAAGGCCAGCAGGCCCCAAGACACCACCCCCTGCCAGGCGCTCGAAACCCAATGACGAGGGCACTGTAGGCGCCTGCGAGGGCTTCAGGTGGAGCACATCATGGGGAGACAGGAGCCCATTAGCAGGAGGACTGAATGGTGGGTCCTGGAGACTGAGGGAGGAGGGCACTGGGAAGGGGCGGCTGCCGAAGGAAGCTGGGTGCTGGTAGGCAGACAGGGCAGAGGAAGATGGAAAGGTGCTGGAACCCGGGAGGGCACCCGAGATGAAGAGTTCCGTGGGGCCTGGTGTGTGCATGGCTAGGGATGAAGAAGACCACAGGTCAGAGTGGACCACCAGACAGCCCTTCTCCAGCCCTCTGGGAACCCGCAGTAGCTTACCTGTTTGCCAGGAAGGACTTCGGAACTGGGAGAGGAGAGAGGAGGCAGAGGGGCCAGGCTGGGGGCCCCGGGACTCCAGGGCCGAGATGAGGTTCATGACGGAGGCGTCAGGCCCTGCTGAGCCTGCGTGGTGGAGGCCAGTGTCAAAAAGTCCAGAGAGGCCTGGTAAGACACGAGAGGGCAGGTCAACCAGGCCAGGCGGAGGCAGGGGTCAGAGGGGAGAGGAAAGCCTAGGCCAGTTCAGAAAATGGCTGGAGAGAAGAGGGCAGACAAGCAAATAGAACCCAGCACCTTTCAACTCAGTCCTCACGAGGCTGAGGCAGGAGGATCAGACCTTCAAAGACAACCTGAGCGACTTAGTGAGGCCCTGTCTCAAAATTAAAGGCAGGCAGGAATGGAGGGAAAGGCAGCATGGAGGGAAGAAAGGCGTTGCTAAGTGCTGCACATGCAACGCTCAGGTTCGAGTCCCAGCACCACAGAAGTACTCACAAAAAGTCCAAAGAGGCAGAAAACAGGGAAAGAGCCAACCAGGAGAACCAGGGGTCAATCTGGACTGGTTTAAAAATCGGAGGGAAGGGAACCAATCAGAGGTGTGGGCGGCAAGGCCACGGTGCTGGTGGAGAGGTTACGTTAAGAAAAAAAGGGGCGGGACAACAAATTGAAGCCAATAAGGGAAAAAAAGGAACCAAGGAGCCAAAGGATCATGCAAACTCACTGGGAAAGAAAGGACTGGGATGGGCTAGAGAGAGGAGGAAAAGCCTGGAAGAGAAGGTGGGATTTGGGGGCCCCTGATGGGTAGCAACCAATAGGAGTGAAGGGGGCGGGTCCATAAAGCGCCTGACGAATCCGGTGTGAAATGAAGCAGGGACCAGCAGCCTCAGAGGCAACCAATCAGGAGAAGTGGCAAAAAAAAAAAAAGAAAAAAAGAGGGCCAGGACCAAGGGCAAGGCCAATTAGCAGGGGTGGAACTTTCAGCAACCAATCAGGTGTCTTGGGGGCGGACCGGCCCCAGCCCTCCGGGATGGGGACCCGTACCTGCCGGGTGGTGGTTGGTGGCATAGCTTTGTAGTGGGTGGGGGGCCGCGTAGGCCTGGCGGTGCAAGATGTCGGTTTCTGGGTGCGAGGTCCGGGAGCTGCCGTAGACCAAGCTGAGAGCAAGGGAGAGATGTCAGAATCTCCTCTCAAGCTATCTTCTGAGAAGAGGGCTGGGGGAACCTCCCACTTGACTGGAGGTGTTACTCCACGGAACCCTGAGATAACACCAAGGAATCCAATTGCCCCATGAGGGGAGCACAAAAAACGACCCTACTCTGGAAGCCTTCAGAGTCCCACGTTTGCAAACAGGCATGCAGAGACAGAGGACGTAAGGGGGAAATCTACAGTAGCCCAAGTGAAAAGTGTGGTCCTCTCCTGGAACCCTCCCCCGGCACAACAGAACCAAAGGTCCAACCCTGCAGGAACACATGGGTACCCCAAGCCCCGCTGGAACAGCACAGACGCTGAATTAGGGAAGGGATCCAGGCAAGCCAGGAGCAGGAGGCAGCCTGTGTCCCAAATGGCAAGGGGAGAAGGTGGAGAGGGGACAGGACCCAGGGAAAGTCCCAGGTACAAGTACTGACATGAATGAGGTACATCCCCAGGGTCTGAGGTGCAAGTGCATGGGCTCAGCAAAGCCAGGCGCGTGTGCAAACAGGAGTTCGATTCACAAATGGGGGAAGAAAAGGTCCTGAGTGTGAAGTCCCACTCGAAAAACTTGTACACGCTGAGGAAACTCAAGTGTTGAGGGGGAGGGGCTGAAGGGCAGGTGAAGAGTGAGGACACGCAACACAGATTAATCTGCAAGAGTCAGATTCACAAGTGAACATGCCGCTGGCCACGCGTGCAAAGGGCCCACGCTCACACACGCAAACACAAACGAGGAAAAGATCAGACTCTACCCCTACAAGGGCCCAAATCTGTGGCCCTGGACCGGAGGGCAAAGAGTGCACCATCAACCAGGATTCTCAGCTTTGAGGGAGGTGGGGAGCAGAAGGGGGCGTGCCCCTAATCCCAGGACCCCCCCAACACACAGAAACCTAGCTTACAAAGGGGGCGGGGCCCCGTGCCCACTCTGCGCGCGGAATTTCTTGGAGGGGGGAGGGCCCGAGTGGCCCAGCCTCGCGCAGCCCCGGAACAATAGGACCTGGGAGGGGGTGCGCGCCCCCCCAGGTCTGCGAGCTAATTCTCCTTTTCTCCCACCTTTGCAGTTGCAGAGCCAGGGGCGCCTGGGGGGAGGGGTCAGCAAGCCGGGAATCCAAAGATGGGGGCAAGTCCAGGCCTTGCATTGCCAATCCTTCCCATCTTCCCAAGGCCTTCCCGGTTCGAATTTGTTTTTGCGCCTCGCCTGCCTGCTTCGTTTCTCTTTTGCAAGCCGGAGCTGGCTTTGGCGGAGTTTACAATTTGCAAACTGGGGCGGCGGCGTTGTTACAAACCCAAAGAAGGCCGCTCCCTTGCAAAAGCCGGAGGGGGAGTTGGCGATGCACGCGTCGCCGGGCGGGCCCCAGGCCCGGGCCCGACAGGAATCCCCCACCTCTTGGCCCGTTCCTCCAGGTCCCCCTCAGCCCCTTACCTAGCTTTCGCTGACCTCTCGTAACTCCATCCCGCCCCGGCGCCGAGCGGGTCCCCGAAGCCGGCGCTGGGGTAGTTCCTGTCCATGAATTGGCCGCGGTGGAAATTGGGGGGAGGGGGAGGGAGGGGGAAAGGAGGGGGCGCGCGCGCGCTCTCCTCCGCCGCCGCTCCCTCCGCTGCTTTTTTCCTCCCTTTCTCTCTCTCTCTTTTTTTTTTTTTTCTTTGCGGCCACCGAAGGCCCCGGGCGGGGGAGGGAGGGGGCAGGGACGGAGGGGCGGGCAAAGGAGGGGTGCAGCCGCTGAGCCAAGGAGGGGGGGTTCCCCCTGGAGGAGGGAAAGGGGGGAGGAGGGACCCCGCTGTCTCCGCCTTTGCCCCGGCGCTTGCAAGAGAGAAGGGGGACGCGCGCTCGGGAGGGGGCGTCCCGGACGGCCCCGGAGTGGGTGCAGGCACTGGGTGCTCGCTCTTTCGCCGCCGCCGCCGCCGCCTCCTCCTCCTCTGCGCTCACGGTGCAGCCATCTTTGCACAAGGCGGCTGGGGGAGGGGGGAGGGGAAGGGGGGCGGGCGGCGGGGTGTCTGGCTGCGCTCCGCTTCCTCCCACAATCCCGTGCAAATGCAAAAAAAAAAAAAAAAAGAGAGAGAGAGAGAGAGGAGAGAGAGCACTAGCGGAGCCTGGGAGAGAGAGCTAGCGCGAGGAGGAGAGAGAGAGAGAGAGAGAGAGAGAGAGAGAGAGAGAGAGAGAGAGAGAGAGAGAGAGAGAGCGAGCGAGCGAGAGAGAGAGAGAGAGAGAGAGAGAGAGAGAGAGAGAGAGAGAGAGCGAGCGCGAGCGCACTAGCGGAGCCTAGGGGTGTAGGGCACAGCGCCTGTACAGAAATCCAGTTCGCTCCACCGCGCGCAGATGAGCGCAGGAACGGGGTTCAGTTCATTTGCATTTTTATTTTTCTCGAATAATCTCAATTTGGGGATTTGTGTGTGTGGGGGGGTTCTTTCTCTTTCTTTTTAAATTTCTTCCTTTTCCAAAAGGTTTTTAGGTAGATAGCAGTTCAGCTCAACTCCATTTCCCCGGGTGCAACACAAGCGTGACACCTTTTCCAGCACATAGCAAATGCGCCCTCCACCTTTATGCTGGATTACGAACCGCCCATGTGGGGAAATACACGAAGACGGGCGTGTGCACGGGCCTGCTTCTCTGCGTGTACGCTCCCCGCGACACGGTGAGGCGACAGTCAAGTCACGTCTTGTCCGAGTTTCAGGGCCGGTGCTCAGGAAGGGCGGGTGCGAGGAGCAGGGGCACGGACTCGGCAACACGATGGTCAGGGACATGCGTGTATCCGTGCGCGGCGGAAACACGTGTGTCGTGATAGACGTCGGGTCCGACGACCCTGACTCTCCCACGCACACATTGAAGCCAGGGAGTCGAAGAGGCCCAGCGACTTCCGGAATCTGCTGTGAATCAGGGGCACAGTTCGGGGAGCCCGCGCTCCGGAGCAAGTCTTCAGTGAGGCCTTCTGAGGCTACCCGGGGTGGGGGTGGGGAGCGTACAGTTGCAGAGTCAAAAAAGCCCCCTCCGCCAAGACCACACCGACCCGCCCTTGGTGCTTCAGCCAATCCTGAATCCTGTACGCACAAGCCCCACCTTCCTGAAAAGCTGCACTCTTGCAAGGCTGGTCCACGCCCCTACAGACAATTGCGTAGGGCCCGCCCTGCCCTGCAAGCCCCGCCCCATGTAGACTTCCCAAAGCACCAAGCCCTGCCCCTGGGGGACACGCCCCTCCCACGCGTTGCCTTCCTCTGCACTATAACCACCCCCCCACCCCACCCCCCGGCAGAAGCCCCACCTCATACCTGGAGTAAGGGGGCGGAGGGGCGTCGTGCACCCCAGAGGCTGCTAGTGCCTGCTCGTAGGTAGGGAGGCCTGGGGGTAAGGGTGGAGACAAGGGCGTCGGGGGACTCAGGGGGCTTATGAGCCCGGTCCTGGAGACAGAAAAGAAGTAGTTAATATAAAACCTACCTTGGAGTTGGGCTCAGCGTTTAAGAGCACTGGCTGCTCTTGCTGAGGACCCAGGTTCCATTCGCAGCACCCACATGGCGGCTCATAACCATCTGTAATTCCAGTCCCAGGGGTCCGATGCCCTCTTATGACCTCTGATTGCGCCAGGCATACATGTGGTATACATACATACATGCATGCAAAACAACCATACACATAAAATAAATCTTTACAAGAAATAAATAAGAAACATACAAGACCAAGGGGTTACAGACTAAGACTCCTTAGTCTTAGTGGGAAGGGACAGAGGTGGAAGGGAGATGGCCCAGAAAAGTGCCTGATGGACATAGACAGGTAGACATGAAAATGAACCTCAAATGCACACTCTCATCCACAGAAACATGGGTGCACCAAGGTAACAGAGAAACAGCAGGTGGACAGACACCAGGGACAGACAAAGTTCGGCAGGTCCACACAGACAGGAACAACACAGAAACATTTAGTTTCAAAATTTCCCAAATCCACTCTTTTAAGCAAGGTTGCCCAAGCTGGCTTCAAAACTCCCAACAATCCCGCCTAGCCGCCCAAGCATTGGGATTGCATGTGTGAACCACCCTTATGGAAGAATGGCTTCCAAATCCATTCTTTTCAATTTTATTTTTATATTTAAAGTAGTTATGTATTCTGTGAGGGTGTGTATGTCACATGCCCACACACAAATGATGGTCAGAAGGCAGCCCGGGGGAGTGTTTTCTCCCTCCACCATAGGGTCCTTGTGATAGAACCCAGGTTGTCAAGTTTGGGGGGCACCCAGGAGCACGGGCAACCCCACATCCCAGCCCTTCAAGGGCTGCCTTTACACAGGCATTCCACTACTCACCTACACCTTCACTTCTCTTTTCACATTTTATTTTGAGAAAGGTTCTCCGTAAGTTACCCAGGCTAGCTTTGAACTCACATTGCAGTGAAAAGGTCTTGAACATTTTTAGAGCCTCACCATGACACCCAGGTATAGCTATCAGACCCCCTGTGAGACTCTGCTGATGTGAAAGACACATATACAGCTCACAGCTCATACAAACACATGCTGCGACCTGCATTCACGGAAAAGACGATGCCACTGGCAGCTATGGACCAGAGCCTACACAGGAACAGCCTCACCACTTGAAATTTGGTACTCAAAAGACAGGTATCAACTTCACACAGATTTTCTCTCCATAGGCCTGTGGCTCCAGACTCTTCATCACTGGTCTCTTGCCTCAGACTAGCCATTCTCCTCAGATCAAGCCTCCCCCTCCCACTTTCCTCTCCATTTATCTCCCACATTCCCTCCTCCTGGAAGACCCCTTACTCTTGCTGACAGGACTCCCGGACTCTGAGTCGGCGCCGCCGTCTGTAGTGCAGATACCAAAAGGCCCCCAAGCCAGCCAACACGATGAGCAGGATCCCAGAGGTCAGTCCCACCGCCAGGCCTGCGACATCTACTCGTCCACGCCCTGTGGGTAGAGGGTACCACTGATCCGGGGCTACCACCTCCTCCAACATCTCAATTCCTTTCCCTAAGGGCATGGGCTAGGAAGTAAGGCAGAGAGACCTGAGCTCCCTTCCTGCTCCTGTGGCCTCAGGCAACAAACACTGGAGCTTTCTTAGAGTGTCTGTTTTCTGCTGTGCAGAATGGGAACATGAACCCTCCCAGGAGCTCTTGAAAACTCATTGAGATCTGAGTAGGGAGTGATGGCCCAGGCCTGTCCTCTCAGCTACTTGGGGGTGGAAGGGGGTCCTGAGGCTGAAGGATAGTATGTTTGAAGTCTGTGTGACAGTGAACTCAAGGTCAGCCTGGGCAAGTTAGCGAGACCCTGTCACAAAGCAAGAAATGAAAAGAGAGTTGAATTTGGGATGTACTTAGTGGTAGAGCAGTTGGGCCGCATACTCACGGCCCTGGGTTCATCCTACCGCGGAGAGGGAATGGAAGGAAGAAGATTCATCGTAAACATATGAATGTGTATCTTCTACTTAAACTGAACTGTTAGTGTAGCACAAGAGGAGGTGCCACCCCATAGGATTTACAAGGATAATAACGGATAAATTGGAGGACACACTGAAATATGGAGGTGTCGAACTTACATGGCGCTGTGCCTAAGGTGCAGACCCCATCAACAAGCTAAGGGACTAAAAGGAGACTTCAGCATCCCTGCCCTCAATATGACTTTGTTTGTTTTTGGCTCTTTTTATTTTCAAATATGTTTATATACTTCTTGTCATGCTGGCGATCGAACCTCTAGGGGTTTTGTTTGTTTTGTTGGTGGTGGTTTTAGTTTTTCAAGACAGTGTTTTCTCTGTGTAGCCCTGGCTATCCTGGAACTCACTCTGTGGAACAGGCTGGCTGCCTGCCTCTGCCTCTTGAGTGCTGAGATTTAGATGTGTGCCACCACTGTTCCAATGAACTTCTAGCTTTTTAAAAGATTTATTTTATGTGTATGTGGACCACTCGTGTCTGGGGCCATAAGAGGTCAGAAGAGGGTGTTGGATTCCCTAGAACTGGAATTGATGATTGTGACCATTATGTAGATGCTGGAAACTAAGCCTAGGTCCTCTGCAAGAACAGCAAGTGTTCTTAACCTGAGTCATCTCTCCAGCCTCCTGTTGATTTCCTAAATAATTTATTTTATTTTATTTGTGTGTATGTGTGCGGGAGGTAGGTGCACGTGTGTGTGGGTGCTCACAGAGGTCAAAGGAAGACATTGGACCCTCTGGATCTGCTAGAGTTATCACCCGTTGTGGGCAGCACCCAACTAGGGTCCTGGGAACCAAACTCCAGTATTCTGCAGCAGCAGCAAGCACTCTGAAGTGCTGTGGCATCTCTCTGGCCCTTCCGGCTGATACTTTTTTTTATAAGGCATGAGGGAACAGGATCTCTCTCCCCTTAGGCTGAGGATTTCGTAGAGGTAAGAACTAGTGGCTGGCTGCTCTGCTTCTCTGATCTTTCAGTTTTCACCCTGATATCTGGCTCTGGGTTTTTTATTAAAAGACCATCTAAGATTTGAACAACATCTCTGTGTGTGTGTGTGTGTGTGTGTGTGTGTGTGTGTGTGTGTAGTCACCACCTTGCATGTTTTCCCCAGGAGTCATACACTGTTATTTTTTTTCATTTAATTATTGATATGTGTGCATATATGTGTGTGGAGGTCAGAGGACAACTACTTCCAGAAGTCAGACTTCCAGAAGTCAGTTCTCAGTTCTCTCACTCTACCCAGTGGTGTCCAGGGACTGAACTCCGCTCCTCAGGCCTGATGACAAGCACGGCCACCTGCTGGGCCGTCTCACTGGGACTCACTTGTTCTCTCAGAAAGGTTCTCCCTTTAGGAGGAGAGGGGGCAGACCTCAGTGACTTAGGCAGGCTGGCTACCCAGGGAGCCCCACAAACCCTCCTGTCTCTCCTCAGTCCACCAGCATGCTCAGCTTTTCCTGTAGATTCTGGGGATCAAACTCGGATCCTTGGGGTTGTGTGGCAAGCACTTTACCAATGATCCATCTCTTCAGCCCTCGGTTTTGTCTTGAGACATGGAGTCTCAAGCTGGCCTCGAACTTGATATGTAGCAGAGGCTGGCCTTGTACTCACAATCTTTCTGCTTTGGCCTCTGGAGTAGCTGGGACTGAAGGGCCAAGGTCTGGGCCATCTTATCTGGCTACCTCTTGCTTTTAGCTTGCAGTGAGAAGACAGGGCTTCCAAAGTCTGGCAGATTTCAGGTGATCCAAGGAGCCACTAGGCCTTGCTAGGATTGTAGAAAAGGAGCTATCTTCCCTAGCAACCAGTTCCACTGTGAGGACTCCAGCACAGACCCAGGGCCTGTTGCTAAGGTGCATCCACCCCTAGCAACCAGGCCATGAGGGGGTGGGGCAGCTGGTGCCCAGAGGGGGGTCCTCCAGCTGGGCAGGAGGCCCTGGTCCTCCAGCTAGGTACGGTTGCTAGGGAGAAGGCCTCCTTAGCAACCAGGCAGGCTGTGGCTGGCATGGGGCTGTGGGGGGAGGGGAAGCCAGCCAGGTAGTGCTTCTGGCTTCCTCTGTCTGGCCTGGCCAGGGCCCTGTTGCTAAGGAGCAGCCCCCCTTAGCAACAAGGCTCAAGCCAAGATGAGGGCTTCAGAACTCAGAGGAGGGGCTGGGGTAGGCAAACTGGACAGGTGAGAATGGCCAGGCTTCCTGCCCTAGCTCTGTTGCTAGGGAACAGCCCCATTAGCAACGAAGATGCAAGCAAGGGGCTGGGGCTCCAGAGTCTAAAGAAGGACCCAGGTGAGTCTGTCCTTCTGATAGTCCCCATGAAAATACCCTTCTGTCCATGTACCCACCCACATGCTCCCCTCCTGGGGCCTTGGGCCCTACTATGAGTGTGAATGCAGTTGTGCTGGGTTTCTCAGACAAGGGCCATCATGAAAAAGGAGGGGGCACCTTGTCAGCCATCTCTGGGCAGCATGGGATCTGAGAGAAGGTGGTCCTTGTATGTGTGGAGGAGACTTTGGATGGAACTCCAGGGCTAAGGGCTGCTTCCCCGAGTACCACTCACCTCCCTTGCCATTGTAGGTATAGCTTTCCCAGAAGCGTTCCTAGAAGGATTGGAGGGGAGAGAAGGGAAAAGAAGCAACTAGACATGGAACAGGCCCCCACAGCCAGTCCACCCTGATATCTGAACCCCAGGGAGGTAAAGAGGGAGGTGAAGGCTGGATGCCTAAGGTCCTCAACACCTGGGGAAGACAGAGAGGACCCAGACGCCAGGGTCCTGAGGCTCTCACCGTCAGTGTGTTGTCCTCAAAGTATTCCCGGGCCTCCTCCCAGGAGCACCTCTCCTCTTGGCACTCTCGTTCCAGGTTTCCGGGGGTCAGCAACTCCAGGTCCCAGTGGTTAGCCCGAGGAATCCGCCTGTGGCCAACTAGGAAACTCTGGGCATCCGGGGGATCCAGGAAGATGTCAAGAACTAAGGACATCAGGGTCAAAAGCAGAGAGGCCTTAGGATTGAGGACAAAGAAGATAAAGAGCTACGAGGTTCTGAGGGGTGAGGGCCAGGTTTGGAAATCCGCAGGTATGAGAAGGAGGGCCAGGGTCTGGACGATTGGGTATGAGGAGTCTGGGAATCTATTTCCGGAGGAGGAGGCTGGGGCATGGACTTATGGGTCTGAGGGAAGAGACTGGGACCTGGACCCCTGGGTCTGAGGGAGGAGGCTGGGGCCTGGACCCCTGGGTCTGAGGGAGGAGGGCTGGACCTGGACCCTTGGGTCTGAGGGAGGAGGGCTGGGGCCTGGACCCCTAGGTCTGAGGGAGGAGGCTGGGGCCTGGACCCCTGGGTCTGAGGGAGAAGGGCCAGGGTCCGGAAGCCAGGAAGTATCCTGGTAGAGGAAGGCAGAAATTAAACCTTTGCAAGGCTTTTCCCCAAACACTCACCTTGGTTTTGTTCTCCATGAGGTAAGGTGTCCAGGCAGGTGGCCAATCCCATATAGACTAAGAGCAAGGAAGGATGGCCCCTCATATTGTGTGGACTCTCAAAAGACAGATGCCTCAGCAGAGTTCTGAGGCAAGGACCCCCTGCCTGGACTCTGCAGTCAATGAATGAGAGAAAAAGTGAGCACTCAACCTGCATCCCATGCTAGACACCACAGTCTGTATCAGCTCATCTTACTGTTCAAAACAAGCCGACTACTCCTGCCATTGTATAGATGACGAAACTGTCACCAGGTGGGAAGGTACTTGCCTATTGTACCAGGTATTCGAACGTGAGAGGAGGGTCTCAGTGATGACAGTGCCCTTCCAACGATGAGCACAAAACTGGTGTGCTCTCGTCTATCCCTCTGTTGTATCCACAGTACCCATCACAGGTCTGACCCATCGTAAGCATTTAAACAGGTTCATCTTCAGGCCTGATTCCTTCCAACCTGGCAGATTCCATTACAAGTCAAACTCCCTCAGCCTGTTGCCTCATCCACCCTCAGAGATAAAATATTACAGGACAGACGAGGTCCTAAGTTTCTAGGTCTGAAGGCTTGAGGGGCCAAGGGGCCCTGGACTCCAGGGCCTAGGGTCCCAAGTTTCTAGATCCCAGTGGAGTGGAGAGTCTGGACACCAGAGCGCCCCCCCTCAAGTTTCTCTGAAAGCATTATTCCTTACCTGCCCAGACCTGGGAGCCCCGCCTCTCTTCTTTAATGAAGACCCCCCTGGGTCAGCAGTAACCAGCTGTGAAAAGGGGTAGGGGAGAGGGGAGGGGAGAGGGAGGAGGAGGGGTGCTTCACCTCGGTAACTAGGCCCAATCCTGGCTTCTAGCAGGGGGCGGGGCTGATTACCTGCTCTGGGAGGGACTCAGGTAAGGGACAAAGTACTTAAAGGAACCTTAGGACCAAGGGCTTCAGGGACACAGCCCCACATAGAAGCAAGGCTTTCCTACTCTAATGGAGGTATCTAGGGGACTTTATTAGAGTCTTCCCCTCTCTCCTTTCCCAGTCGGGTCTCTCCCTACAGACAATTTGCTTGGCAGAGCCAGGAAAAGAAATCTTGGGTCTCTAGAGATCTTCAAACTGGTGGGAACGGAATGCTTTGGTTCCTAGAATAATTGGGCGGTACCACATTATATCTATTTCCGGTGGGTGACTGACTTGAACAGCTTGGCCTCGTGATCTTTTGCCTATTGCTCTTTCTATAATATGAGGAAAGAAGAGTTCTCACTTAATCGTCTCTTAAGATGCAACAGGAAAAATAAGTTATCTATTTTGGAAAATGGGTATCAGAATCTCTGGGCGAAGGAGTTAGTTCTTAAACTCAGACTTGAAGAGACTCAGAGTAACTGCCCCACTCTGCCTATGGCAGGCTAAGCTGTCTCCGATATCCATGCCACTTTCGCTCACCGGAACCTTCGAGTTGTCACTCACGTTTCCGGGGGGTAGAAGAGAAGAAGAAAGGACTTACCAAGCCGGGCGAAGCGCCTCCGCAACTAGGGGCAGTGTTATTTCCGGTTTCTACTGCCGAGCGGAAATAGGAGGAGTGGAGGGGAAAAAATAGTACTCTTTTCCGGTTCGGGGCACAGTAGAAGCAGCGACGGGTCGGATAACCGTTTGTGAGGTGAGCTGCAGGTGGTGTGGGGTCGCGTCGTTAAGATCCCTTCTTGTAGGTGGGGTATTTGAAATTCCGAGGGTCACAGGATAAGATTTCTCACTTCGACTTCCTGGCAATCATTAACAGAGCGCTCTGTGATCACCGAGTTGGAAGCTGAACTACATCTCCCAGCATGCCCTGCAATATATGTCGTCCTCATCCTGGGCGATCTTAGAAAATGTAGTTTAGCTGTGGAAAAGCGATCCGTCCCAGTGCAGGGTGAAACGTGGGACTCCCCGGATTAGTGAGAGTTGAGGCAGGATTCCTTAATCTGCTTCAGTTTTCCAGACAGTGGTGAGGAGGGCAATGAGCAGTAGTGGATGAGGCCCTGAAGGAGCCTTGAAGCAAGTGAATTTTTATTTTACTTGAGACAAGAGTCTTTCTACGTAGCCCTTGCTGTCCCAGAACTCTCGATGTAGTTCAGGCTGGCCTCAAACTCACAGATCACCTGTCTCTGCTGCCCCAGTGTTCAGGTTAAAGGTGTGCGCCACCACGCCCAGCCTCTTATTTTCATTTATTTGTTTATTTTTATTTTGTTTTGGGGCGTTTTTGTTTGTTTGTTTTTTGAGACAGGGTTTCTCTGTGTAGCTTTGGAGCCTCTCCTGGAACTCACTCTGTAGCCCAGGCTGGCCTCGAACTCACAGAGATCCTCCTGCCTCTGCCTCCTGAGTGCTGGGATTAAGGGTGTGTGCCACCACCGCCTGACCACATTTATTTATTTATTTATTTTTATTATTGTTTGTTTTTTTGAGACAGCCTTGTGTAACAGCCCTGGCTACCCTGGAGCTAGCTCTGTAGACCAGGCTGGCTTCATACTCACAGAGATCCTCCTGCCAATACCTCCGAAGTTCTGGAATTTAAGACATGGGCTACTCGACGATTATTTTATTTTTTTGAGACAGTGTCACATGCAGTCCAGGGTGGCATTACATTTCACTATATATCTCTGTAGGGAGATTAAGATTTATTTAAGCCGGGTGGTGGTGGTGCACACCTTTAGTCCCAGTACTGGGGAGGCAGAGGCAAGGCAGATCTCTGTGAGTTCGAGGCCAGCCTGGCATACCGAGTGAGTTCCAGGCAGGATAGGTTCTAAAGCTACACAGAGAAACCCTGTCTCGAAACACACACACAAAAAAAATTATTTAAAATGGGCATGGTGGGCACATCTTTAATCCTCCCAGCACTGGGGAGGCAGAGCCAGGCGGATCTTTCAGAGATTGAGGCCAGCCTGGGCTACACCTGATGTTCCAGGCCAGCAAGGGCTACTTAGTGAGACTCTGTCCCAAAAAGGAAGAAAAAAAAGATTTGTTTATTTTTGTTTTATGTGAATGAGTTGGGTTTTTTGTTTGTTTTTTGAGACAGGGTTTCTCTGTGTGGTCTTGGCTGTCCTGGAACTCACAGAGATCCACCAGCCACTGCCTCTGAGTGCAGGGATTAAAGACGCGGGCCACCACTGCCCAGTTTGAGTGAGTGTTTTGCCTGCATGTGTGATTGCACACCACTCGCATACAGTGCCTGCAGAGGCCAGAAGAGGGCTATCAGATCACCGGAACTGGTGTTGATTGGGACCTGCCAGGAGGGTTAGGTATCAAACCCAGGTCCCAAGAGCACCCAGTGCTCTCAGCCAGTGCACCGTCGCCTGCCTCTTAATTTGTTTTGTTTGTTTGTTTTGAGACGGGTAGCCCTGTACTGAAAGTACACACGTGCAGTCACCACTCCTAGCTCACGTTGTTCGTATTTTCAGTAAGCTTTATTGGGGTATAATTTCATATAATGTGTACTTTGCCCACTTAAAGCAAACAATTCAGCGGTTTGTAGTATATTCACAGAGTTGTATAGACATCACCACTAACAATTTTAGAGCATGTTCTCTGGGTGTGGTAGCACACACCTGTAATCCCTCGAGTTCCAGGGGATCTAATGCCCTCTTCTGGCCTCCAAGGGCACCAGGCAGGAACCTGCTACACAGGCATAATCACTCAGTGGTAGAGGCAGCAGAATTAGAAGTTCAAGGTCACCCTCAGGCTGCAGAAAGAATCAGAGGGCAAGCTGGGCTAAATAAAGTCCTGTCTCAAAACAATTTTAGGACATGTTTAATAACTCCAAAAGAAATCCTGCCCCACATCCTTGACCACTCCTTCTGTCTTTCCTACCCCTAGTCCTTGGCAGTCTCTACACACCTATGAGTCTGCCTTATCTGCACATCTCTCCTAAATGCAGTCATACAGTATGTGGGCTTTTGTGGCGGGCTTCTCTCGCTCGGCATGCTCTTTCTAGGCCCCTCCATGTTACATCCTGATGCCTTGTTTGTGGATGAGTAGTATTCTGTTGTGTGAGGTGGACCACATTTCATTTCTCCACCAGTTGACGGCCTTCAGGATTGTTTCTGCTTTTTGGCTGTCTCAGGTAGTGCTGCTGTTAGAAAATGCTATGAAGAGGCCGCTGTGAACATTTGCATAAAAGGTTTGTGTGGATGTGTTCTCAGTTCATTGGGAGTAAGGTCTGTGGTCAGGTCTGTGTTGATCTTCCTCCTCACGTTGATGTATGTGGCTCCCAGTTTCTCCACCACTTCATTCTCACTTTTTTTTTTTAATGATTTGTTTATTTATTTTTGCCTGCATGTATATCTGTGTGAGGGTCCTAGGTCCCCTGGAACTGGAGTTACAGATGGTTGTAAGCTGCCGTGTGGGTGCCGGGAATTGAACCCTGGTCCTCTGGAAGAGCAGCCAGTGCTCTTAACCTCTGAGCCATCTCTCCAGCCCCCCATTCTCACTTCTTTTTCTTTTTTTTTTTTTTTTAAAGGTTTATTTATTTATTATGTATACAGTTCTCTGCCTGCATGTGTCCTTGCAGGCCAGAAGAAGGTACCAGATCTAATTGCAAGTGGTTGTGAGCCACCATGTGGTTGCTGGGAATTGAACTCAGGACCTCTGGAAGAGCAGTCAGTGCTCTTAACCTCTGAGCCATCTCTCCAGCCCCATTCTCACTTCTTAACTATTGGTTGGTTACATGTGGTTAAAATAGTAGGGTGTGAACTGGTTCTTCATTATGGTTTTCTTTTTCATTTTGAGAGCATGTGTGTGAGTGTGTTTGGGGGGGGAGGGGTGTGCTGGGGATGAAATCCAGTGTCTCTCTGAGAGTATTTCAGTGCCCACAGAAGCCAGAAGAAGCATTGCATTCTCCATGGAGCTGGAGTTACAGGTAGTTGTGAGCCATCAGACATTAGTGCTGGGAACAGAACTCTGGTCCTCTGCAAGAGCAGCAAGTGCTTTTAATCTCTGAGCCATCTCTCCAGCCCCAGTCTTTGTTTGTGTTTGGTTGGTTGGTTGTTGGCTGGTTTTGGTTTTGTGGATACCGTGTCCCCTCAGTTCAGCTTTGTTCAGAAGTTGAGCTTTTGTAGGACCCAGTTGGAGGAGATTTGTGTTCTCATAAAAGGAGGGCTAAGTGCAGGGATGTGGCTCTGTTAGTTGAATGCACCTAGCATGTGTGAAATCCTGCATCCCGGCCCCAGGATCCAGTAAACTGATGGTGATGGTGAAGGCTTGTATTTCCAGCACTCATGAGGTGGAGACAGGAGAAGGGAAATTTAAGGTCGTCCCTGGTTAGGCAAACTGCTGAGGTGCCTATTTAGCATATCAAAGTAGACCTGGCAGGTTCTTCCAGCAGCCCTCAGTCCCTACCAGTTACTGAGTATGGCTGGCTCCCCTCTACCTCTCCAGCCCAGTGGCTGGCTGCTCTTCCTCCAGAGGCTCCCTATATAATCCAGACATTTTGGTTACCCACCCATTTTGGCTCTTGGCCTCCTGGCTGCTGCACCTGGTTCCCCTCTCTCCACTCTGCCTTCCCCTCCCCGTCTCCCACATGGCCCAGCTCAGTCTGGTCATGTCCACTCTGGACTCGCCCAGATGTTCCTGCCTCTGACTATGCTGTCCCACATCTATAGTAAAGTTTCTCCTTTATCCTAGGAGCAGTCCTTTCCTTTCCTTTCTTTTTCATTCACCTAGCAAGTTTGGGGCCAACCTGGGCTAATGAGATGGTGCCTCAGAGGACAGCCATCTGCAAAGCAGGAATGGGGTCATCACCAATACCATACATAGTACTGATAGCCATGCTTGGACTTGCAGTCCCCATGAGAAAGTGACATACACCAGTTACCCCAGCCCTTAGGAGGCCGAGGTAGGGGAATTTCTGTGAGTTCAAGGCTAGCCTGAGCTACAGTGTGAGACACACCTTGCGCTTGCTAGGCAAGCACTCTACCACTGAGCTAAATCCCCAACCCCGGCAAGTTCTCTTTTTAAAGTTAATTGTTATCTCTGTGTGCATTCATGGTGTGCGTGTGCACATATGTGTTGTACATGATGGGGGCACTGTCACAGCACACAAGGTCAGAGGACATCTTTGTGTCTCCTTCCATGTTGACATGGTTCTGGGGCTGGAACCCAGGACATCAGGGCTGCACCAAGTGTCTATTACTCATTGTACCATTGCTGTCCCATTACATTTTTTCCTCTTTTTTTTTTTTTTTTTTGGGTTTTTCGAGACAGGGTTTCTCTGTGTAGCTTTGCGCCTTTCCTGGAACTCGCTTTGGAGACCAGGCTGGCCTCGAACTCACAGAGATCCGCCTGGCTCTGCCTCCCGAGTGCTGGGATTAAAGGCGTGCGCCACCACCGCCCGGCTACATTTTTTAAAATCACGTTATTTGTTTGTTTGTGTGGATGTATGTTGTGTGTGCACACAGGCATGTATGCCACTACACTTTTGGAGGTCAGAGGACAACTTGCAGGAATTGCTTCTTTCTTTCCATCATGTGGATCTGTAGACAGATTTTTCTTTGGGCTGCCAGCTCCTAAAAACACGACATGGGCCGGGCGGTGGTGGCGCACGCCTTTAATCCCAGCACTCAGGAGGCAGAGGCAGGCGGATCTCTGTGAATTCGAGGCCAGCCTGGTCTACAGCGTGAGATCCAGGAAAGGCGCAAAGCTACACAGAGAAACCCTGTCTTGAAAAACCAAAAAAAAAAAAAACCACGACACGGAGACTTATTAATATGAAAGCTCAGCCTGTAGCTTAGCCTTGTCCCGCTGCCTCCTATAACTTAACCCAGTTAGAGTAATCTCCGTTTTGTCTCATGGCTTTTTACCTCTCTTCCATCTTGCACTTCCTGTTTCCTCTCTGTGTTCTCTGGCATCTCTCCCATGCCTAGATTCATCTCCTCCAATTCTTTCTCTGCCTAATCGCCTCCTGCCTAGCTACTGGCCATTCAGCTCTTTATTAAAGCAACCAGAATGCGCCTTGGCAAAGACACGTCTTCCCAGTGTACAAAAAGATTGTTCCACAGCGGGGATCCTGGGCTTGAACTTTGGGTGTCAAGCTCCTGCAAACCCTTCCCCCCTTGAGCCGGCTCACTGCCTGGCCAGTTTTCTGATTTGTTTTGTTTTTCTGTTGGTATTTTGTTTGGTTGGTTGGTTAGTTGGTTGGTTTTTCGAGACAGGGTTTCTCTGTGTAGCTTTGGAGCCTGTCCTGGAACTCACTCTGTAGACCAGGCTGGCCTTGAACTCACAGAGATCCGCCTGCCACCGCCTCACTGGGCTGCTGTTGTTGCTGCTGTTGTTTTTAGTTTTTACACTTCTGCGGGCTGGAGAGATGTCTCAGCTTTAAGGGCATTTGTTGCTCTTGCAGAGAACCCAGGTTTGATTCCCAGTACCCATATGGCAGCTTGCAATCATCTGTAACTCCAATCCAGACCTACTTTTGGCCTTCAGAAACACCAGACACACACAAGTGGTGCATAGACATACAATGCAGGCAAAAACCCATGCACATAAAATAAAAATAAATAAGTTTTTAGCAGGGTGGTGGTAACACACACCTTTAATCCCAGTACTCAGGAGGCAGAGGCAGGTGGATCCCTGAGGCCAGCCTGGTCTACAGAGTGAGAGCCAGGACAGACACCAAAACTACACAGAGAAACCCTGTCTTGAAAAACCAAAAAAGAAAAGAAAAGAAAAATGCCCCTGGGGCCTGGAGAGATGACTCAGCAGTAGAGGGCCAGATTTGGTTCCCAGTACCCCTCCCCGTTCCCCGTGTCAGGCAGCTGAAACTTCAGCTCCACCTGGGCACCTGTGTGTCAAAACGTACACACAGACATATACAGACATAAAATCTTTAGAGAAGATGCCTCCCTTAGCTGTTCCTCCCACTTAAAGAGGAGTGTTTCACCAACCTAGCAGAATCCTCTACCGCGACGCAGCCAAGAGATGCCAGCCAGCCAGTGCCAAACAGTGCTCAGGGTCAAGGCAGTTGGCGACTAAGAATGAAGCAGGAACTTGCTGTAAGGTCACCGGAGCAGAAACCCAGGGGACTGGGAGCGGGTGTGAGTGAGAGCAGGCGGCAGGTGCTGGAGGATTGGGGGCTGGGAAGATCATCGGAGGCTTGGCAGGTAGATGCCAAGGGCAGGATGCCTCTTCTTCATAGACAGACCTGTTTGTTTGCAGTGGATGGAATGTGGCCTTCATGCCTGCTGGACTGACAGTCTTAACAATGAGCTGCATTCATAACAACATCTTGCCCAATTGCCTAGGCTGTGTGTGGTGATATTTTGTTTGTGATCTAACAAATAAAGCTTGCCTGAAGATCGGGGTGCAGAGCTAAGTCACTAGTTAGCCATAGAGGCCAGGCAGTGGTGGCACACACCTTTAATCCCAGCCCTCCGTAGCCAGAGGCAGATGGATCTCTGTGAGTTCAAGGCTAGCCTGGGCTACACAAGATTGATCCAGTCTAAAAGAGAAACAGAGCCAGGCAGTGGTTGTACACACCTTTAATCCCAGTACTTGGGAGTCACAGACTTTAATCCCAGGACTAGGGAGGTGGAGGGGATATGGCTGGGCGGAGAGGAATATAAGGCTGGAGACAGAAACTCATGGCATTCAGTCTGAAGATTCCTGGAGACTGGATCTAGTCTCCTTTCAGCTGAGGATTTCTTAGAGTTAAGACTCTCTAGTGGCTGCTGCTCTGCTTCTCTGATCTTACAGCTTTCACCCTGATATCTGACTCCAGGTTTTTATTTTTATTTATCTTCTTATTTTTGTTTTTTGTTTTTGTTTTCGAGACATGGTTTCTCTGTGTAGTTTTGGTGCCTGTCCTGGGTCTCGCTCTATAGACCAGGCTGGCCTGGAACTCACAGAGATCTGCCTGCCTCCACCTCCCAAGTGCTAGGATTAAAGGCGTGCGCCACCACCGCCTGGCCCATGTTTTTATTATTAAGACCAATTAGGATTCGTGCTACAACTGTTCTTGGATACACTCTTTAGCCTAGACTGGCCTTGTCATTGTTTATACAATTTGTATTATATTTTATTATTTATGTGTGTGCATGTGAGTGAGTCTGGGCATGCAGGCCTGCTTATGGGGAGCATCCACACAGCAGCTCGCAACTACCTGTAACTCCAGCTCCAGAGGCTCTGTCGCCCTCTTCTGGTCCCTGCAGGCACTCCATGCACATGATGCATATTCAAACAAGCAGGCATACACATACACACATAAAATTTTTTTTTTTTTTTTTGGTTTTTCGAGACAGGGTTTCTCTGTGTAGCTTTGCGCCTTTCCTGGGACTCACTTGGTAGCCCAGGCTGGCCTCAAACTCACAGAGATCCACCTGGCTCTGCCTCCCGAGTGCTGGGATTAAAGGCGTGCGCCACCACCGCCCGGCTCCACATAAAAATTTTTTAACGGTCAGAGTCTCACAGACAGTGGAGTGTGTAACCAGAGGCTTTTCTTTATCCTGCCCCGTCCCACAGTAAATAGCCGTCTTTGTCCCCCATTCTGCCCAGAGGTGAAGGAAACCAACCATTCAGTCTCTGACCAAGAGAGCGAGAGAGAGAGAGAGAGAGAGAGAGAGAGAGAGAGAGAGAGAGAGAGAGAGAGAGAGAGAGCGAGCCCCCTCCCCAGTTTTAACCTGTCACATACCCAGAAAGGGCCACGCCCATCGGGCCAGACATCCCAAAGATCATCAGTTGACTGGGACAAGTGCCCATGGCGGTGGTGGCGCACACCTTTAATCCCAGCACCCAGGAGGCAGAGGCAGGCGGAGTTTGAGGCCAGCCTGGGCTACAGAGCGAGATTCTGTCTCAAAAACCAAAGGGAGTGGCCGGGTGGTGCCTGGCTTTCCCCCCTCCCTGCTTCAGACACTGCTGCTGTGTTGAACAAGCTTCTGGGGCAGGCTACTGTCCTCGCTGTTTGTGAGTGTCCTGGGTCCCTTTGTTCCACAGGATGACGCGGCATGGTAAGAACTGTACTGCAGGGGCTGTCTACACCTACCATGAGAAGAAGAAGGACACAGGTACCGTCTTGGGGACCTCACTCTCGCCTCAGGTTTCCCCCTGGGGGGCGGGTATGGCCGTTTGCTCCTCTGGCCTAGTCTGCCTGTCGTTACCCCGTGTGTACTAATGATGGTGACCTAGGCAGTGTGGCCCTTGTGGCTCATCTAACACATGCATCCCATGTCAGTTCCCTCTCCTCCCAACTGTTCCCAGATACCACCTTTGCAGAAGGAAGGCTGAGAGCCAGTGGTTCCCACCCCAGGAGAGGGAGCCGGCCATGAGCCTCTTCCTCCCTGCCCCACTGTGAGGGGAATAAGGCTGGCCTCGCCATGTCTTTCTCGGGTTCCACTCAACCCCCACATTTCCTTGGGGATTTGGTGAAAGGCATGTCCCCATCCGTCACCACCTTTCTCTGTCCCCAGCGGCCTCAGGCTATGGGACCCAGAACATCCGACTGAGCCGGGACGCTGTGAAGGACTTTGACTGCTGCTGTCTCTCACTGCAGCCCTGCCATGATCCTGTGGTCACGTGAGCAGGGGAGGGGCAGCTGGGGTGTGTGGGGTTCAACCTCAGAGCTCCTCCACCACGGTGGAAAGACTGCATTGCTAATAGCTGGGCCTGGGCTCGACAGGTGGAGTGCTTTCCTAGCCTGCAGGAAGCTCTGGGTTCATCCCCAGTGCCACAGAAAACCAGGTGTGATGCCCACCTGTTACAATAGCACTTAGGCGATGCAGACAGGAGGATCAGGGGTTCAAGACAAGCCTCAGCTGCATAGCAGTTTAAAGCTGACTTGAACTGCAAAACACCATGTCCCAAAATAAAATGAAAAAAAAAAAATGGACTGAAGGGAGTACTGTGGAAGATGTCATCTAAGGATGTTTAGTGGTACCCAGGATGGGGAGTGAATATGCTTTGTGGTCCTTAGAGTAGGGAGTGGATGGATACTGGACTGAGGATGCTCTATAGTGGTACCCAGAGTGGAGTAAATGGCTAGAGAAGTGAGTGGATGACATGATGGATGCCGTCATGTGATCAAGTCCAGGCCCCTGTTTCCCCGTCCCTCTGCAGCCCAGATGGCTACCTGTATGAACGGGAGGCGATCCTGGAGTACATCCTACACCAGAAGAAAGAGATTGCCCGGCAGATGAAGGTAATAGGTGCTGAGGAGAAGACAAGGGACCCAGCGGGGCAATTTCTAATCCCAGCTCCTTTTCTCGAGGGGCCTTCACTGATGCTGGTCTCTGCCTGGAGCACCGTCCAGTCCCATTTCTCTCTAGACGTTTCCAGGCAGCGTCTGTGTTGACCACCTGCAGGCCAGGGCCTCTGGGGTCCACCCTGCTCACCCTTCTCTAGGAACGTGTCAGCCCTGTGCCCCACACCCTCTGCTCTGTGTGCTGGACACACCCTGCAAGAGCGGCCTCCCTTGCTCTCCTCAGCTCCAGGCATTTGGCAGAGGCTTGTGATGCAAATGGACGCCATCTGTGGGTCGCAGCCTTATCTCTGAAATGGCCACCGGTGTGAAATCAGGGCACCACAGAGCAAGTGGGAGATACAGATACGGTTTCTCTAGGTGCTCACTGTGACCCAGGCCCGTCCCTCCAGGGACAGGCATGCTGGGTGTCTAGGAGGTGTCCTTTATTTCTGTGTGGGGCATACCGTCTGGCTCCCCTCCCTTCCACAGCCTGGCTTTCTTGCACTCAGGACACACTGAGGGCTTGTTGGTTTTTATTTGTGCCTAGGGATGGAACCGAGGGCCTCACAGGCCAGACACTTGCTGTTCTAACCCTGCTTTCCACCTCTGGCAGCTCAGCATGCTCAGCGCCCCACTCCCCAGCTTCCCAGGCTCTGTGTCCTCCCCACAGCCCAGTGGGTAGCCAGCCGCTCCTTCCTCATGGTACCCCTGTTGGAGGCTTCCTGGACTCGGGCATGGTTACTGTTGACACCTGCTGGTGCCAGGCAGGACCGAGCAAGGAGCATGCCTCACCTACTCTGGTCACACTGGGTGAAGCACACTCACTGTACTGCTTAAGGACTTCCACGTCCAGCCCCTCTACGGCAGGACGGTTCCCTGGCCAGCCAGCATGCTTTATTGAGTGCTTCCTGCGTGCCCATCAGCTTCTAAGCACTTGAGAAACTTCGCCATGGGGCTGTTTGCAGAGTGCTTACTTAGCATGCACTAAGCCCTAGGTCCCACCCCCAGGGCCACGTGACCAGATGTTGTGACTTGATTGGCGGAAGATGAGGAGTTCAAAGTTACCCTTGAGTTCCAGGCGGCCTAGGCTACTTGAACCCCAGTCTCACCTTGAATAGGGCCTCTCAACAGGAGGACTGTGAGTCCTACACTGTCTGAGTAGGAAGGAGACCAGGGGCTCAGAAATGCCAGGCCACCTTACCAGGTGCACACAGAAACATCACCTGTTGCCAACCCCTGCCAGGGTGGGCGGCTGGGATGCTGAGCCAGGCCCCTCTTCCCTCCAGGCCTATGAGAAGCAGCGAGGAGCCCGGAGGGAAGAACAGAAACAGCTTCAGCGAGCTGCAGCCCAGGACCAAGTTCGAGGCTTCCTGGAGAAGGAGGCAGCCATCGTGAGCCGGCCCCTCAACCCCTTCATGCCCAAAGCTGCCACCTCACCCAACACAGGTGACAAAAGCACCTGCCCTTGGCCGGGGTGTTCAGGGGGTGGCTTCCTGAGGTGTGTGGCCCAGCTTCTCCCTCCCACAGATGGCGAGCAGCCAGGGCCCAGTGCGGGTCCCCCAGGCAAGGACAAGAACAAAGCGCTGCCCAGCTTCTGGATTCCCTCGCTGACGCCCGAGGCAAAGGCCACCAAGCTGGAAAAACCAGTGAGCTCCCAACGTCCCAGCCTCTTGCCCCTCACACGATGACCCTGATCTCCCCACTGCCCTGTTGACCCTGCCTCTGCCCGCAGTCCCGCACTGTGACCTGCCCGATGTCTGGGAAGCCTCTCCGCATGTCGGACCTGACGCCGGTACGTTTCACACAGCTGGACGACTCTGTGGACCGCGTGGGACTCATCACACGCAGTGAGCGCTACGTGTGTGCTGTGACCCGAGACAGCCTGAGCAATGCCACGCCATGTGCAGTTCTGCGGCCCTCGTGAGTAGGGTTGGGGAGAGAGCCTGGAGGGGCCGGAAATGCCGCAGGGCTGACCTCTGCGCCGTCTCCACTGCAGTGGGGCCGTGGTCACCCTGGAGTGTGTGGAGAAACTCATCCGGAAGGACATGGTGGACCCCGTGAACGGGGACACGCTGACAGAGCGCGACATCATCGTGCTGCAGCGCGTGAGTTGCCAGTACCCCACCCCAGTCGCCCCCGCCCCCGACTGCTGGCTAGTGTCACACCCTGCCCCCTTCTCGTCCTCCCCCACTCCTCCCTTGTCATCGTCGTCCGTGTCGTGTCCCCCCACCCCCCCCATGCACTCCTCCATCCTGGGACTTCGCCCCCCTTGTCAAAGAAACCTCCCCTGTCCAGTCTCTCCTGTGTCCCAGGTCCCCTCCAGGCTCCTCCAGCTTGCTCTTCTCCCTCCTCTCCAGGGCGGTACGGGCTTCGCTGGCTCGGGAGTGAAGCTGCAGGCTGAGATGTCTCGGCCAGTGATGCAAGCCTGAGCTGTGACCTAATAAAGCTGCCTGTGAATGAACTGGATCTCTGGTGCCTCACTGTAGGCAGGAGGTGCAGAAAGAGTGGGCGTAGTGGGCAATGGTGGGCACGCCTTTAATCCCAGTGCTTGGGAGGCAGCAGCAGGCAATCTCTGCAAGTTCAAGACCATCCTGGCCTACAGAGTGAGTTCCAGGATATCCAGTACTGCACAGAGAAACCCTGTCTTGAAAAACCAAAAAAAGAAAGAGTGGACTTGCAGTGTGGGTCACTCCAGTCCCAGCTGAACCCTAAACTCGTGGAAGCCGCCTCAGTCACTTTTGACCATGCAGGAACCCTGGTAACAGGAACCTGTCAATCTAGATCCTCCAGCCTCAGTCAGGATCTGGGAGAGGGGCTCAGCGCATAACACACTCCCAAGCGAGCTACTCAAAGAGACCCCCAGACACGGACCTGCCCGCCATGTGCCCTTCATTGCAGGGCTCCCCTGCAGACCCGGCACGTGCCCACACACTGCCTCATGTACAGTCCTGCCCTCATCTCCTCCCCTGGAGAATGTCTCTCAAGAATCCCAACTTCCAGCCGGGCGGTGGTGGTGCACACCTTTGATCCCAGCACTTGGGAGGCAAAGGCAGGTGGATCTCTGTGAGTTCGAGGCCAGCCTGGGCTACAGAGTGAGATCTAGGACAGCCAGGACTACACAGAAAAACCCTGTCTCAAAAAAAGAAGAAGAATCTCAGCTTCTCTGAGTATGTCCAGCTTTCCTCAGTACCCTCCACCCCAGCCCCCTGAATTGTTCAAAAGTGACACAGACCACCCACACCCCAACTCCACATAAAACTCAGCTTCCTTTTTTCTTTTCTTTCTGGACTGGGAAGGGCACACACTAAGCAAGTGTTCAAGAGTTCTTATCTTTTAATTAAAAACGCTTTGGTTATGTGTGTCTGTGGGGAGGGGTTTGTGCATGTGAGCACAATGCCTGTACAGGCTGTCATAACCGGTCAGACCCCCTGGAGCTGGAGTTAGAGACCGTTTTGAACAGCCTAGTCTAGATGCTGGGAACCAAACTGGTCCTCTGTAAAGAACAGTGAGTGCTCTTAACCACTGAGCCATCTGATCTTAAGGAAGGTGTGGTAGCCCATGCTTTTATCCCAACACTTGGGAGGCTGAAGCAGGAGGATTGCTGCAAGTTTTGGCCTAGCCTGTGCTCCGTAAGACTAGCTCATGCCTTTAATCCCAGCACTTGGGAGGCAGAAGCAGGCCTGGTCTACAGAGCGAGCTCAAGGACAACCAAGGCTACACAGAGAAACCTTGTCAAAAAAAAAAAAAAAAAAAAAAAAAACACCAAGAAACCAGAAAAGACCGGCTCAAAGTCAGAACATACATATCTGAGTCCTTAAGTCTGGGTAAATTCTCGACGGAAGAAACATTGGCTGCACAATGATGAAATGAATGTGGTAGAAAGATGTCTTTAGTATGTGGCATCTTGTATATTTATAATTTTACATCCTGTAAGTCTATTGCCAGTATTTAAAAATAAAGCAGATACCAGGCATGGTGGTATGTGCCTGTAATCTTGATCCTCCTGCCTTCACTGCCAACGTCTCACGTTACCAGGGTGCATCAGGACACCCGGAACATTCCTGTGTGCATAATTTGCTGCTTTGTGTATTATTTTAATAAGATACTGTCAACCACAACCTCCCAAAGATTTGGAGGGCCTTTTGGCTTGTAACCACTAGAGAGCAGAATGTCGTCACCATTGAAAGGCTAAGAACCGGGTTTGAATTCCAGCACTTGCAGAAACAAAACATGATTGACTGGATAAAAATAGAGCAGCAGGGGCTGGGGAGAGGGCTCAGTAGTTAGAGTGCAGAGGCTGGAGGACCTGAGTTCGGATCTCTGGGGCTTGCTGCCCATCCACACCGTCCTGTCCTGGGTTCAGCCACAGACCTCTAAGAAGTAGTGTAGACAGTAGACACCCAGCACAGGCCTATGGACTCCACGTGGGGACACACAATAGAGACATACCTAAAGTAACCAGGAAGTTTGGAAAATGCAGGGCAACTGGGAGTTTCCAATGTGCCACTTTTAGCCGGGGACAGGGTCAAGCCTTGCCAGGAGTGACTGCCAAATGCCAGTGGAGATCCGAGCCAGACCTGGTGGTGCACACCTGTCATCCCAGAGTTCCAAAGTCTGAAGCAAGAGGATTACTTCAAATTCAAGGCGAGCTGGACGGAAGGGAGGGAGAGAGGAGAGGGTGGAATGAGAGACGAAAGCCAGGGAGGTACCCCAACTGTGTTCATTCAACTCTCAGCTGAACCACAGGTACTGCATGGGGTTCCCTCCAAAAAGCCCAACAGGGCCTTAAAGCCTCGGCTAAGGTCTAGTAGAAGAGCTGATGGTTACAGTTGGAGCTCCATCAAGTCAGTCAGCAGAAAGGGATGTGGCCGCTGGAGAAAGCTCTGCAGTTAAAAGAACTGGCTGGGGCTGGAGAGATGGCTCAGAGGTTAAGAGCACTGCTTGCTCTTCCAAAGGTCCTGAGTTCAATTCCCAGCACCCACATGGTGGCTCACAACCATCTGTAATGAGATCTGGTGCCCTCTTCTGACCTGCAGGGATATGTGCACTGTATACATAATAAATAAATAAATTAAAAAAAAAAAGATTTACTTAAAAAAAAAAAAAGAACTGGCTGGTCTAGAGGACCCAGCTTCTGTTCCCAGCACCCACCTGGGGGTTCACAACCATCTGTAACTCTAGTCCCAGAGGATCTGATACCCTCTTCTGGCTCTTTCACACATGTGTGCAGGCCAAACACTTGTACACATGGTGTGGTTTTTTTTGTTGTTTTTTGGGTTTTTTTGGTTTTTCGAAACAGGGTTTCTCTGTGTAGCTTTGCGCCTTTCCTGGAACTCACTTGGTAGCCCAGGCTGGCCTCGAACTCACAGAGATCCGCCTGGCTCTGCCTCCCGAGTGCTGGGATTAAAGGGGTGCGCCACCACCGCCCGGCTTGTTTGTTTGTTTTTTAATTTAAAAAAATAGTTTTCTTCTGAGAATAAAACAGACTCCAGAGGGCTGGAGAGATGGCTCAGCGGTTAAGAGCACTGGCTGCTCTTCCAGAGGTCCTGAGTTCAATTCCCAGCAACCACATGGTGGCTCACAACCATCTGTAATGAGATCTGGTGCCCTCTTCTGGCCTGCTGTCATATATGCTGTATACATAATAAAAAATAAATAAAATCTTAAAAAAAAAAAAAAAAACCAGACTCCAGAGATACCACTGTCTATCTAAGATGGAGTGTGACTTGGGGTACCTGCCTGGAATCCCCAGTGAGGAACTGGAGTGTCATTAGAGGATAGGGCTCAGAACCTGGGTGCTAATCCTGGAACTCCCAACCCAATGCTATAATAAAAAACATTACTTTGCTAACTGTAATGGTGGGAAGAGAGAGTACAAGAAGGCTGACCTGCGCACACACAAAATTTTCAAATAGGATTAAACTGTTTTGAGATACACCTTGCATATGTGAACACATGTCCTACGTGAGCAGCTGGATGATTTTCACAGTCGGAACGCCACTGGGACGCCACTGGGAAGCAGCCCCCAGATCAAGAGCGAGCACAGGACTTACCAACCCGGGGGTGCTTCTGGCACATTCCCAGAACTGGCCAGCAGGGGGCGCTCAAGCCATTCAGTTCCTTGCTAAGTAATTGTTCCTGCTCTGGAATACATAGCCTGAGGCAAAGCCGATGAGGTTAGCACCGCGCACTTGGGGATGTATGCCGAAGCCCTTCAATGCCACCACTTTTTCTGCAGGTGAGTGCCGCAGATGTTTTAAGTTTGGAGTCTTTAAGGAAGGCACTGGCATGGACTTCATTAAAAAATTCTGGGATCAGCTGGGCGGTGGTGGTACAAGCCGTTTAATCCCAGTACTCAGGAGGCAGAGGCAGTTGTTTCTGAGTTCGAGGCCAGACTGGTCTAAAGGGTTATAGGACGCCGTGCGGTGGTGATGCAGGCCTTTAATCCCAGCCAGCACTCAGGAGGCAGAGCCAGGCGGATCTCTGTGAGTTCGAGGCCAGCCTGGGCTACCAAGTGAGTTCCAGGAAAGGCGCAAAGCTACACAGAGAAACCCTGTCTCGGGGGAAAAAAAAAGTTACAGGACAGCCAGGGCTACAGTGTGAAACCCTGTCTCAAAAAAAAAAAAAAAAAAAAAAAAAAAAACAAGAAAAAGTTAAAAAAATTCTGGGTCCAATCTCAGGTAATCAGGCTTAGTAGCAAGCACATTTATCCATGCGCTGGCTAGTTCTGTGTGGGCTTGACACAGGCAGGGTCATTTGGGAAAAAATAATCTTTTATTTCTTATATGCACTGGTGTTTTGCCTACACGTCTGTGTGTGTGTGTGTGTGTGTGTGTGTGTGTGTGTGTGTGTGTGTGTGCGCATCAGATCCCCTGGAACTGGAGTTATATAAACAGTCCTAAGCTGCTAGGAATTGAACCCTGGTCCTTTGAGAAGAGCACCAATGCTCTTAACCCCCAGCCATCTCTCCAGCCCCAGGAAGAATGTCAATTGAGAAAATGCCTACATAGCATTGGCCTGTGGGCAAGTCTGTGGAGCGTTTTCTTGATTGATGTGGAGTACCCAGCCCGCTGTGGGTGGGGCCACTCCTGAGCAGGTGGTCCTGGGTGCTCTGAGAAAGCAGGCTGAGCAAGCCAGGGGGAAGAAACCAGTAAGCAAGGATCCTCCACGACCTCTGTCTCAGTTCTTGACTGTAGGTTCCTCCCCGACTTCCTTCATGCTGGGCTGTGATCTGAAATGAACCCCTTCTTCCCCGAGTTTCTTTTGCTCAGGGTATCTTATCACTGCAGTAGAAACCCAAAGACACCTGCTGAGCCATCTAGCCAGCCCCACCCCACCCGCCCATTTTTCCTGATTTTTATTTATTTTTTATTTGTGTGAGTGTATACCCGTGTGGGTGACTTAGAGGCCAGAGAAACCATCAGATTCCTCAGAGATGGAGTTACAAGCATTTGTGAACCTCCTGCCACAGGTGCTGGGACCCCAACACTGGCATCTCTTTTAACCACTGAGCCAAATATATCATTTCCCCTTCCCCATTTCTCCCTCCTACCTTTTTTTTTAAACAACAAGGGTCTTACTCTGTAGCCCAGGCTGGCCATGAACTCCAGCAATCCTCCTGCCCCAGACTCTGGAGTACTGTTACAGGCATGTATCACTCTCTCTGTTTAGCTCACTGTGACTGACACCAGGCCCTCTCTGCCCTTAGCCCGTTCCTGGCTATTCCGTTACCAGAACACAGCTAACACGAGGCACCTTCACAGGGTAGCTGAGACTGTGGTGTTTCTCTTACTGTGGTTTTGAGCTTCCCCACCACCCTGCAGCACTTAAAGGCAGGACTTCCTGCCCGGCTTTCTTCTGTGGCCTTCAGGCGGCTGGCTTTATTCTCAGTCTCTGGGAACGCCCTCATATTTCCACTAACACTCATCTCCCATGTCCAAATGCCCTAGACCAGCGCTTCTCAACCTTCCTAATGTTGTGACCTTCAATACAGTTCTGCATGTTGCGGTGACCCCCCAACCATAAAATTATTTTTGTTCGTACTTCAGAACTCCATTTTTGCTAGTGCTATGAATCACAATGTAAATATCTGATATTCAGGATATCTGATATTCAATCCCAAAGGAGTCAAGACCCATAGGTTGACAAACACTGCCCTATACCTTCCTGCAGGCCTCAGAGCCCAGTTCCCAGGATGCTCCTCCTTGGGCACAGCATCCTTACCCCCGGAGAGACAGATACACCAAAGTACCCCAGCAATGGTTTTATTGCTCCCAGGCAGTGAGCAGTATAGGTCAGCCTGTGTGACTGAGAGGTTCAGACTGGGTTGGGCCAGGGGGTGGGCGCAGGGTCTGTGCTGGGAGACGGTACCAGTGGCTGTCACTTGAGTGCCTGAGTGTCTTGGGCAGGTTGGGGGTCCCGGGGTGGGGGGCGGGGGTCTCAGGGAGGGAAGGTGACCGAGCGGGTCCTGAGAACCCGAGAACCAGGGACACCAGAGCTGAGTCTGCCCTAGGCGAGGGGCTGGCTGCAGGTGGCCCCTCGGTTGCCCCCCTGGAGTCATGGGGTCACAAGTCTGAGCAGACCTAGGAATCAGAGTTCGTCATGGTGCCTTGTCAGGTCCTCACCGTAGTTGGTGGCCTGGCTGCCCACGAACATGTTCCAGTTGCTCAGGATCTCGGCTTTGCTCAGACGGCCATCCTAGGGGTGAAGGGGTCAGCGGGAGGCAGGGTCCACATGGGGCCCCGCCCACTCAAAATGTCCCTAGACCCCTCCCCTGCCTTGCTGCTCGCCTCTAGGCCTCTGCCCCCCACCTGTGTCTCTCCCTCCCTGGGTCTCTGCTGCCCGCTCTGGTCCCCTCCTCTCCGTCTCAGGACCCTCCCGAGTCCCTGCAGAGACTCACCTTGTCTGTGTCGCTCTCATGCAGCAGGTGGTTGGCCTCCACCAGGGGCTGGTCCTGGGATGGAGGCAGGACCCAGTAACCGACTTCACTGCCGTCCAA